CCTAAGGGTGCGTTCGCACTAAGCACTCACGTCCCTGCAACCGGAAAGGGCTTTATAGGAGTTCTCTTATCCCTCCGCGCATTTTATGGCGCCTCTGTCTGGCAAACGCCTGGGGAAAACCGCGTAATTCAATGACTCGAGACTCTTGTGCCTATTTTCGCGTTAAGTGTTGGCATATTGTTTTCCTTTTTCTTTTTTTTCTTTTTTTTTCCTTTTCAACGATAGATTGCACTTTTGCAGAACACGAAGCTTTTTGCTTTGCCTGTTCAATTCAACTTCGTGCTGCTTTCACAATTGTGAACGGGCCTGTAGCATTCGACCTAGGGTACTTCGAATTTCTTGCAATTATTAATACGTTTGTTTATAGTATCGTATCGACGAATCGATAAACGCTCAGATCTAAAATTATATTCTTTTTCGTTTTGCAATTTTATCAATTAGAAATTATTTGAATTATAAATATTTTTTTGATAAATGTTATCTTTATTTTCAAACTGTATAGGTTTGTTCGGTTAAATCAATAATTCGTTTGTTCGTCGTTAACGATCTCATCGTTGAGAATTTGATAGAATTTATATGCCTGCAAATCGTATAACATAAACAATGAGATTTTTGTGTATGAAATTGGAATTTGCATTCGCTTACATACATACAAGTCGTCGTTTCATTGAAACAACCAGCAAAGTTTCTAGCAAAGCGTTAAGAGGAAACGGGTAGGACAAGCATTTCACCGCCGACATCCAATACAACTCATGCGTATTCTGATGAGTTCATTCCCCTTTACCGACTGTTAGTTTTAGATCACACCATTCTCCCTGTACCTACTAGGCCTCGAAAAAAGAAAGCAGTACGAACTTTGGATTCCGAATTGAATCCCTTTGGATTTGTATAACGCTTGAGATTTTTGCCGACTTCTCTGCTGCTAGATCGATACGACGAAAGTAATTACGCGAGATTAAAAGAGCTTTACGATTTTATAGTACTTTAATCAAATGCAACTAACGTGAAAGATTTATAATGTATACGTATCTTGATTATATTATATTATAATATTGGAATAATTTGTCAGTTACGTGTACTTCATATGGAAAAATATTTTTGCTATAACAAATTTATTTTGTACAAGGTTATATCAAAATGAGATATTACTAACTGCTGATTGTTAACGTTTTGTGTGTATTAATTTGAATGATTTAAAAATGTTTTTTTATAAGAAGTAGATCGGTATACATAGTGGAATTATAAGTGTTAGAAAGAAGAACAGTAACGAATTTTCGCAATCTACTATTAATAAACGGGTCCACATATTCGAAAACCGTCCCGTTTCTTGATTAAGTTCGACAAGAAATTGTCGTTGCACGTGGTCCAGCGAGTAAGTAGATACCATTATCTCTCTCTCTCTCTCTCTCTTTTCATTCTCTTCCTGATCTCTGTTTCTCGGTGAAAGTGTGCTTATATTCAATTCCCTCGATTCCTTTCTTTCTCTTCGTGTTCCTTGCCACCCTTATGTCGTTTCATTCGTTAGGGCAGGCCATGTGGAGGGGACGAAGAGAATCGGGTGATGTCCTTTTTACGCGCAATCTTCGGAGTTTAATTAAGGAACTCGCGAACGGATGAACTCGATGAATGGCCTGGTCGAAATAGTGAAAACGAGAGAGAGAGAGAGAGAGAGAGTGAAAAGGAAGAGAGAGAGAGAGAGAGAGAGAGAGAGGATTAGGGAGAAAAATTTCTGACTGCGCGCACATAAGAGTGTTGTAACGCAAGGACGCGACGAGTTGGGGAAAGGGTGGTTCCCCTCTCTTCATGGTTAGCTTTAAAAGTTCGTTCGCCCACCTTCGATGTCACGCCGGCGGTTGTTAGGGCGCGGAAAACAAATACGTGCCTTCACTCGGTGCAAAGACGACGTACCAATATGTATGCTAGGGTGGCGAGGGAGGGGTGCTTCATGAGATGCAAACGTGAAAGAAAGAAAGAGAAAGAGAGAGTCAACGTGGGGTGGTAAATGGGCTGGGAAAAGAGATGCAGCACGTGCATTCTCTCTTTTTCTATCTTTCTCTTTTCCTTATTTCTCTCTCTCATCTCCCTTTCCCTTTTTTTCTTTTCTTTTCTTTTTTTTTTCTTTTCTTTTCTTTTTTTTTTTCTTTTCTTTTCTTTTTTTTTTCTTTTCTTTTCTTTTCTTTTCTTTTCTTTTCTTTTCTTTTCTTTTCTTTTCTACGAAACGAACGAAAAAGCTCTTCTCGAACTCGTCGCAACATCGCGTCGTGCCAACTCTCGACGACCTCCAGAACCACTACCTCTCCTCCCCTTAGACCCTTTTCCACTTCTCTCTTTATTTTACTCTTTTATACGTCGGACTTTAAACTTTCGCCGCCCCTTTTTATCATTCCTCGTTTTGATCTCGCTTATAATGGATCAGAGGTTTTGAAGGAAAAAAAAAATGGAATGAGAGATGGAGCAATAAGGGTGGAGAGACCTTGAACGATGTTTAAAGTATCGGCACGCGTGCCGCTTTGGAAAAGTCGATGATTTAAAGGACCGTTAAGCGAAATGCTTAATGACGGGCGATGCTTAATGACGACGACGTCGGCGAGCTTTGATCTCATCTACCATGCCCTTAGATAAAAGTCTTTCCTTCTCCCTTTCCTTCTCTCTCTTTCTCTTTCTATATTGTTTTAAAATCTTCAGACGTAGAAGAAATATGTTTTTTTTTTTTCATTCTTCTTCTTTTCCCATTTTTTTTTTTTTTCATTTATATATTTGATCATGTTATTTGTCAGAAAGAAATGTGATTATTTTTTTTTATAGTATAAATATTGTACAAAAATAATTGTAGAAGATTACGGGGAATGTGAAGGATTGATGTTTTTTGCAATGGTTTTTGTCCGACAAATTTAACCAAGGTTTAACATTTATATGATATAGTAGCTTTAAATCGTAAAGCGTATACGATAAACAAGCAGAAAAGGCAATAAGGTTAAGATCGTGCTTGTATGCATTTTCTTCGCATAAATTAACAAATCATTTTCTTTGGGAAAACACGCGTATGTGGACGTTGCTGCTAAGCTCGCGTACTGGTTCGTTCGTTGACTTTGAAGTCACGATTGTGCCGGATTCGCGTAATGGTTTTGGCGGCTGCGCCAATTCTATTTTTGTTCATTGTTCGTGGGATTCCTTCGATGGCATAAGTTTTGGCCGATCACGAACTTTTGTATGACTGAGCAACATCCTTTTAACTTGCGTCTATCGAGATTTAAAAATGTTGGTATTTTGTTCTTTTCTTTTCTATTTTTGAAATTTGAAAATGATAAAGAAAAAATGGATTATATACACGTTATTGTATATTCATTTATATTCGAGCAAACAATTTTAGACACTTTAAGGGAGAAAAAAATAATTTTTATTTATTAGAATCTAAGAAATAACGTAAATGTTATTATATTTCTTGTGTTTATCTTCTCTCATCTCTGGTAATCGATAGAATTTTGATTAAACTCCGATATAATAATATTTTGTCAAGTATCTTTTATATTAGGATCACTTAAGAGCCAAGTAAATATGATGCTTTGCGATATTCTCCGTGTGACATTTATAATATAGTAACGATATTTTTTTTGTAGGAGGCAATATTGGGAATTGATCTTTATCAAGTAAACTGATTCTAGGAAGTTAAAGATTTCTGAAGCATTTTTCTGCTTATCATAGTTTTATTGTTCCTATAAGTAAATCACCAAAACTATTCTCCTATTTTTTCGAAACCTACTTCGAACTTGAGCGTTAGCTGACATATGATTCTAATGACATTTTCTTTAAGCCAACAAAGCTTTAGCGCATTATGGAATAAAAAAGAAGGTAATCAAAAAGTAGAGAATTCTGTAGTCGTTGACGAAAAGTTAAAAGAAAGAAAAAAAGAAAGAGAGAGATCATTAAGATATTGTAGCTTTTCGTAATACCCAGGAGACAGATAGATCGAAGTAATGAACGAGACAGGACTAAGGGAACCTTGCTCGCATTTATAGGGGTATTTGCGGGGGTTGCGAGAATGCAGTCGTCTATTTCGGAATTGGGTGCGCAACAAAGGCGCGTAATGAGAACATGTGTCGGATGCAGGAAGCTTCATTAGCGAACCTGTTCTTGTCTGTGAATTCCATTGTGGACACCATCTAACCTTCTCTCTATCATGTCGATAGATAGTCGGTATCACGATAGTTAACACTTACGTCATACTTTGTAGTTGCAATTTCGATGAAATTGAGAAGAGACGGTAAACAAGTGTTCTCTCGAAAAGCAGCAAAGGATCGAGAGTCAAAGTGATTTTCTGATAACGGAAATGAAATTGAATCTGGACCTTGTTGTTGCCGGAAATGTTCAAGATAATTTGACGGGAAATACTAATGAGCCATTACTCAAATCATCCTGGAATTGTTTGTGATATAAGAGAAACGAAAGAAAGAAAGACAGGTTACAAATAATTTTCATTGATTATCTCCCGTTAATTGAGTTGTAACAATGAATAATTAGATCTTATGAAACATACGTTCGGTTTCGGCAGTGCTTTTTAAAATATTTCAAGGAATACGATGAAGAACGGTCAGTTCGTCACGCGAATACATCCCGTAACACGAAACTGTCTTCCTGCTTGCATAAAACAATTGCCAGAGTATCATTTACAATGACTCAATGTGAATTCCTAATTGCGGATGCTAGTTGCCTACCTACCCTTCTCTCCTTACTAACGTACTTGTTCTATATTCGCGTGTGATGGTCGATACGACAATGTATCGTTATGATGTAATATATCCTTGATGACCCAGTAATCATTGTTAACTTTAAACGATGATGCTCAAATTGTCGAATTATTTGTTTTAACATGTTTTTTCGATCATGTGGTATTTTATGAAAAAAAAATATCACACATCTATATCTTTCATTAACTGTTAAATTACTCAAAACAAATTGGGAAATAGGGTGTTAAAAAATATTTTATAAATTCGTATTTACAGTTTACGGCGGGGTCCAGGTGCTAACGTGCAAGATGCCAGTGGATATACGGCCCTTCATCATGCAGCACTCAATGGTCGTCGGTATGCATTAGAATTCATTACAATTGTTTATTTAAATATTAAATTATCATTTTATATTCTACATCACCATTTAGTTAAATTGTAATGTTTCTTAGACTAAAAATTGATTTCACCATTGATAAGTTATTTTCATCACATTTCTTTGATTGTAATTCGAACGGATTATCAATTAATGAATTTTTCTCACGATTTAACATTGTTAATTTAAAAGTTGATTTTTTCTATTCAGTGAAATAGTGAAGTTATTGCTCCAATACGAGGCTTCCACAAACGTCGTAGATGCTAAAGGATCTTCGCCACTTCATTTGGCAGCTTGGAAAGGAGATACTGAAATCGTGCGGTTAATTCTTAGCCAAGGACCTTCGGTACCTAAAGTTAATCTAGCGGTAAGCAAATTCTATAATAATAATAATTATTTGAAGAATTTTTTGTAAAACTTTGATGACATCTGATACTATTTTGTGTACTTAAACAATTCGTAATGTAATAAAATGACTATAGAAAAGACAGATACTTTGCCAATGTTTTCTCGAATTTAGCAATTTTTGTAAAATCTATCCATAAGAATACAATTAGAAAAGACTGCACTGTGTTTTATACGATTTTACAGACAAAGGACAATGAGACGGCCTTGCATTGTGCCGCACAATATGGACACACGGAAATAGTGGCACAGCTGTTGGACTACGGATGCGATGCAAGTATCCGCAACAGCCGTGGAGAATCTGCTCTCGACCTAGCAGCGCAATATGGCAGGTAAATGGATTGTACGAATTTTTAAATCTACGAGAAAAAGTTTGACCGAGAGAAAGAAAGAGAGAGAGAAAGAAATAGGCCCATCTGTCGATATGTCGATTTTATTTTATAATAAAACGTTATATAATTTGGTTTACAATTCGTGATTTAAAACAACAACAACAAAAACTAGAAAAAGAAAGTACATGAAAAAAAAGTAATCAACATATTAATATAATGAAATGAATACACGTGAAAAAGTATTCAAAATATAGTCATTATAGAAATATTAGTTTGTTCGGTTGAAAGTCTAATATCGTTTGTAATCATAATTAAAATATATATAAGAGATACATCGAAGATGCTAGACGTATTATTCATTTATAGATTGGAGACAGTGGAATTACTCGTGCGAACCCATCCAGAGTTGATTGAATCTTTACGAAATTCTTCCTCGTCTTTAATCTTCCCACATACTCCGTTGCATTTAGCATCACGTAATGGACATAGGTAAGTGTTTGTTTTTAATTTATTTTACTATAGATCATAAATCTTATTTTTTAAAAGATTATATCAATCAAAATTGGTATTCTTTTGGTACCTACTGTTAATCCTTTGCACTCGAAAGGTTACTTTCAGTTACCAGTCGGTTTAACAGGATAACATGATCGGTAACGATGGTGACACATGGAATATCTAAAATTATTTTATACATATATAAAAGAAGAGTATTTTTCCTACGTATAGGAGGTCTAGAAAGTTCCGTGTTTAGTATGTAAGGGGCTGTAATAGATTGATCTGTTATTCGATTGAATGAGAATCTATATTTTATGCTTATAGGAGTTAAAAAGAATCATTAGGTTTGCTCTAAACAAATAAAGTCTAACAAAAGACACCAAACCATATATTACGGTGATACTTGCCCCGACAAGCCGAGGATGCATTTTAGAGATTGCTTTATAAAATATCACACAAAAAAACAATACGGGGTTTAATATTTAACAAATGTTCTTCTTTAAAGTATAAATATTTATATAATGTTAAAATATAAAAGTTTTAAACGTTACATTGTGTTTGTGTGAAATCATTTCAAGATAGCTCTAAGAAATTCATCAAGTATGCGGAAGTTGGTGGTTCTTCCAAGCGAAAAAGACCTTAAGTGCAAAGGGTTAATATTCTCGGAGAATACATATTATATTAAATTTTCGAATTATCGAATAGGAAAATTTTATTTGTTTTATATATTTTAAATGACAAAAGTTTTCATCTGGAAAAATCATAAATCATGATCACTTTATTCCACTGACTAAGCTTTCTGCAGGACCAATCGTGAATCGTCTTGGTATTCGATTTGTAGTACCGCAAGTTCGGGATCCATTTGATATTGTGCAGAGCCCACGTTCTCTTTATTTGATTAAGCTGATCCGATGATCGCTGCAGCGCGTTTGACCACGCGTCCGGGCGTTGGTCTACACATTCATTGGCAACCACTACTACCACGACCAATTCTCTCTACCACTGCTACCACTACCAACATCAGCGCTATTTTATATTGCGTTACAATTGGCGGTGTCGCTGTTAGATTAGCCGCAATTCGCACAAGCAGGGTATTTGCACCGATGCGTATTTCGGTGCATTTGAGTACACCATTTCGCGGTCCTGTGATTTCGCTGGAATGAAAAAAATTCGTCATTAGGTTTTTATCTGAATCGAATTCATAAATTCGATCACGCGAAATTCACATATTACTGAATTGTATTTATTAATAGAAAATTATAATCTTTACTTTCATAGGACTTTGAATGTTGAAATAATAAGAAGAAATTAACAAAATCGATCAACTCATCGATTCAATTCAATATTGAATTGAACAATTGTTTTTTATATTTTTTTTGTTCATTTTTTGTGTAATAATACTTTCCCTATTCTTTTCTTATCAGAATATACTGCCCGCTCTAATTATTGAATAATGCTTATTGTGTGATGTTGTAACCCTGAACAACAATGCGTTCGTTCGAGCAAACCATAACGATGTAGAGCCATTTGCAGAGCCGTCGATTAGAACCAATCAGAAAGCACGGTGTTGCGTAATCCCATCGAATGGGATATGTGCCTGCATCCAACTGGCACGGTCCGATGCAACCCTCTCAGAGTAACACGTCCTATGTTACCATCTACCGGTTCGAACGTATCCTCTCTCCTCTCACTTGCGAACATGAATGTATCAGAACGCATCATGCCGGCCAACAGCCGGCCAGCAGTCTCTCTTTGATTCATCCATGCGAATTGCAATCGACCTCCGCCTCTTGATCGCGAGAATCGTATTAATTAACACTGTCGAAACGTATCGACCTAGATTATCTACGATTGCTTTTAGCAAAAGGTGCTTTAGATACCTGGCCCTATTACTTGCTTATTATTATCTTCTTTGATAAATCTTTTGATCTTTAATAGACAAAATTAATAATTAAACTAGCCAACCAATATTCGGTTCTTTGTACGAAAAATTATATTATTCTTTATTGTAAATAATCATCGAAGATGTAAATACTCGAACGATTTATTTAAGGAGCAATAATAAATTGATCATGCACAAAGGATTAACCTTTAATACGTAAAACTCGCGTCGTTTTATTATTTTCTTTCTTATCTTCGTGTATTTTAAGTCGATCTAATATGCAACTCGTAGAGTATATACATATGTGCTTGTGTGTGAACGTATGTGTATAGATCATGACATGAACTTTGAAAACTCGCTAATGGAAAGGTTAAAGTTATTTTCGCCTAGGAGAGCTAAAGAAACATAGAGAAAAAGAGAGAGAAAAAGAGAGTAACTTTGTACTTTAAATCCCATGTATCAGAAAGGAAGATAATTCAATTAGAAAAGGATATATCGAAGATAGATTAAAGGGAACAAATCTCATTATTTGTATCGTCGAATGAAATTAGAGTGGACTGTTCAAGCAGATTTGCGATTCCTAAAACGCCAAATGAAAGAGCGTGATATAACGTAGATATGTACCATAGGAAATCGTAAATTCGTATTCGCGTTAATGGCTTGTTAATTAAATAATATTGTAAGCACCAGCGTACATTGTCCAATCGATCGTTTAATCGGATAACGCAAGAGATTAACCGGATAATCGATTACATCGACGTGGTACGATCGCGTGAGGAAAATAAGTGAAAACGTTATTAACATATTATATCATACGACTTTGAATTAGTTTTCTTCTATCTTTAACACAGAACATAGTTAATATGCTTGATCGCTTATCTAAGCAAACGTGTTATTTTCATTTATTTTGCCGCGAAATAAAATCTTACTATAACTGTAACAAGACCATCGAAGATCTTTTTCTTTCTTTTGCAAAACATTCATGATTTTAATCATTGTTCTTTCAACAATTACGTTCGATATAAAGTTACATTGCTCTTCCCTTTTTCGAGGCTTCGGTGATCGCTCGTTTAACAAGTGGAATATCCATTTTTATCGTTTCAACCGATTCGTTCTCATTTAACATAGCGATGGTACACGTTCATAATCCTCTTGGTAAGCCTTTAAAATAATCGACTGTAGGATGCGTAGAACGTATATGTGAGAATGAGAGAGTAAGAGAGAGAAAGAGAGAGAGAGAGAGAGAAAGAGAGAGTAGAGGGACGAAGGGTTGAACGTTGGAATGGTTTAGAAAGAGAGAGAATGGTAGTGACTGGTATCGAAATGGTCGGCGATCGTGAATCGCCGCGAAACGGTGCTCACATTGTAATCGGGTATAACGTCGGTTTTTCTATGCATCCTCGTAGCCGGTAATCGCTTTAACCGTCGCTCGCTGCTTATAATGCGATCGCATTTGGCGATATACAGTACAGTCCGATGGTTGCATTTTATACCGATGGCGCGTACGTTTGCGTGCTTGCATGTGAATACGAAGAGAGCGAGAGTGAGAGAGACAAAAATAGGGAATGGGGAAGAGAGAGAATGAAAGGGGGGAGGGAAAGGGAACGTGACATTTTATCGCTCGAATTTTGGTTAAATAACGCCTTGCTATACATACGCGCGTGTATGTACGAGTGAGTGAGAAAGAGAAATATATATATAGAGAGAAAGAGGGAGACAGAGATATGGGGTTTATTCCAGTGAGAAAGAGACAGACTTTACTTTGACGTTTGCTGGAATTGCAGAATGAGCGAGAGAGAAAGAGAGAGGATTGGCGATAGTGCGGGTGAGCAAAGGGATTGAGAGGGTGAGCGTGGGAGAAAATGGAAGGTGGGGGTGGAGTAATGTCTATTATCGGATTCAATATCGCTGCTCTCGGTAAGCCAGTATACAAATACTCCTATGGCACGGTAATAACAACGTAGGTGCATGCGAATCCGATCCCCAGCCGCGAATCCTATATGCGACGGATGGCTGCGGTCACTGCAGTCGGCGTGGACTGCGTGATGGAATTCGTATTTTGTGATTTCGATTGTCCGAGACAATCTAAATTCTATGTATGTATATATATATATATATATATACATATGCACCGTGCCGGTCCTCCTGCACGATCTCGCATGCCTAGTCTCTTTGAGAAAGGCAAGGATACGTTCTTTGTTCGATTACTATGATGTCGTGAGAATGCGATTGCATTGACCATAGGGGGTAACGCTTATTAATCATTTATTCATTTAATTGTAATAGTAATACTTTTAATTATTATCTGGAATTTTATCTTATATTGATTATTTCATATGATTTCTATGGTACCAAAATTTGTAAAGTTTTTAAATACTATGATTATATTTAACAGTTCTATATCGTTTATTAATAAATTTGTAATAAAAATGAATTAATATTTAAGGTATTTTTTTTTGTCGTTGTTTCTTATTTCTATCATGATTTTTTTTTATTTTTTTAGGGCCGTTGTGGAAGTTCTGCTTGCTGCGGGAGTGGACGTCAACACAAGAACGTCTGCTGGCACAGCGATGCACGAGGCGGCACTTTGCGGTAAGATGGAGGTTGTCCGAGCTCTTCTGGACAGAGGCGTGGATTTGGGAATCAGGGACTCTCGTCAAAACACCGTTCTGGACCTTTTGGGACAATTTCCGCCACACGTCACCCAAGATATTACAGCTGTAATAAAGAGTACGTCGGAATTGCTGCGGGTTGTCCCTTCACTTTCCTCTCAACTCCTTTTATTACATCTTTTTCATCTTAATTACAAGAATCATCTGTATATAATCCAAGCGATTCTTTTTTACCCTCACCGTAATTACGAATATGCGAGATGTGACTAAATTGCTTTAATACTTACAACTTAATTGCATAGATAAATATATAGTAAGAATTCTACTCGTTTATTAATACCTAAATCTTTATTTAAGAGATTTGTAACCATATGTACAAGAGAAAAACATTTTACCGTGCTCGTTGTTATAACTTTACGGTGAGAAAATACGTTGTAAAGATGATCTATTAATTGTTAGGATTCTATTTTATGATAAACGTGTAATATATATATATATGTGTGAGTGTGAGTGTGATATAATATATTATATTCCATGTGCAGGGCACAGGTCCTCTTCCGGAGTGGAAAGCGATGCCGACAGTGAGAACTTGCCACCGATTCCGGTTCAGGGTGGCGACTCATTGGGCAGCCCTTACGAGAACGTACGCCCAGGGGATGATCTTTCTCCGGCGGAAGGGACGTCGCCCACCCAATGGCAGTTCTATCATAAGCCTCGGGACGATGATCGTCGTGTTTCCGGAACTTCCGTTATTTCTTTGTGAGTATATTTTCTTTTCTTTTTTTCTTTTTCTTTTTCTTTTTCTTTTTCTTTTTCTTCCTTTTTTCATTTTCATTCTGGTTTTTTATTGCGTCTCTACGAATCACTTTGTCGAGCAGCCCCACATGTAATTTATTTCTTTTTTTTTTTTGACTGAAATTACCTCTGCATCGATGAACTTTAATATTAGGATTATTCTTATAGATAAAATACTTAAACGATTATACAATTTGTTTTTGGTCTAACAAGACAGATAATCTTAATTTATCAAATCAAACCTTGCTGGTAACGCAATTATCTTACATTTTCTTTCATTAATTTTATTTTTTTAAATGAAGAAACTTATTTTAATCAAGATACCACTCATTATAATCCAATATTAACAACCAAGTAATTTTGCCATGTCTTTTGATTTTTTCTATAACGTTTATATGTAATTAATATTTGTATATGAAGCGGATAAAAGGATATTGAATCTTTTTAGATATAGGTAAAGCATTAATAGTATTCCAAATGTCATATATTAATTTATAATATAAGGAATCATTACTCATCTCATATCGAATACAATGTAAACAATATAACAACATTTGACCGTTTCGAGCGGCACACTACATCGAATAATTACACTTTAAAGAACATTGTATACGTTTCTAGTTTGCTACGGGTATATAATTTAGCGCTATTTCGTTCTCGTTTGCGTCCAGTTTCCGGTCACGTCCCTTCCTCATTAGAACGAGTGCTCGCTCGAACTTTTGCGAAGGGAACGTGTAGAAGCAGAGTCGAGTAAAAGAAAATCTTCATCTAGATAGTTCTGGTCAACTAATTAGTCTGACATTTTTCCAAAAAGTAAACATAATCCTTAAACGAGTAATGCACGGTTCTTCCTCGTGTTTCGAACTATCATCATTCTACGTTACATTTATTAATACTGAAGAAGGAGAGAAACGAGAGAGAGAGAGAGAAATGAGTGTAAAAGAAGAACGAACAGCAGAGGAGAGAAAAATAAACGGAAGCAAAGAGTGAGACATGAGCCTACTTTTGCATTGGTAAAACGTGGTAGGGATGTAATATTTCGCAAAAAGTCTCGATATTTATGTATGTATGTATGTATGTGTAACGTACACGTAGGTGCGAGAAAGTACGTGCATAGCTTTAATATAGGAGATGTGGGCAAACAAAAGCATAGACATGAACCCAGCAACGCGAGAGTGAATGAACGAGTATAGAGAGAGTGAGAAAGAATGTGAGATAGAAAGAGTAAAAGAGAAAGAAAAAGAAGAGAAGAGAAAGTTACTGGACGAGCAAAAGGGTGATGATGCCTGCTTGCATAGTTGCTACTACTGCCACTACCGTTGCCATCACCAACACTAGTTAGCTATACCTGCTTCTGTTAGCCACAGTCGGTGGTGTCATTGCTGACTCCTGTTGGTTGCTGCTGTTACTGCTACTGATGTTGTTGGTACTGCTGCTGCTGCTGCTACCACTACTGCTGTTACTGCCACTGTTGGTGTTGCCCCTGCCTTAGCCACAGAGTTGAAGGTTCTCGGGTCGAAAGGGGAGGTTTCGATGTATAGGTAGAGGAAAGAGATAGGAATAGAGAGGGAGAGAAAGATATATATAGAAGAGGAGGAGGTGGCGCGGCCGCGTGTAGCCCCAGCGCGTTAAGCACCGCTTGGCTTGGTTTAATTTTCCTGATGTAGGCAGGCAATGGTGAGTCCGACCGTCTCGTTCGCCCCAGGTCACCCCCGCCGCATTGCCCCATTGCTACTCTCGCTCTCCACTTCCGCTAGCTACTAAGGCCAACCGGTTGGCTGAACTCAACGGAGTGAGAAGGATAAAGAATGAAGGGTGCAATGCCAGCAAGGAAAGCTCTCCACCGTCCGTGTTTGACATTGGTATCCCCGACTCGGCCTGCCTCGAGATGAATCCATCACGTTAAACAATGTAAATGTTAGCCCGTCTCAGCACAAAACTAATAACCATGCCTCTCAACCGTGTCCTACGGATATGGCCTTCTCTCTTTCTGCTACCCGACCAGTTTTTTCTCCAAGATTTTCTCTTCTTCTTTTGTTTTTTCTTTTTCTTTTTCTTTTTCTTTTTCTTTTTATATTCGTGTTTTTTGCAATTTGTTTGAAAGAGATCAGATACATTTGAAGATTCTTTGGGCTTAGAAATTTTAAACGATTTCACTTCAATGAGATTTGACGGTATCGAATCAATAAACTTTGCTTCAAAAGTAAAAAAAAAAGGCTGAAAAAAAAATATATATATACATAAAAAAAATGTATATATATATACATAAAAAAAAAAGATTTAACGAGCCTAGATGGATGACGCGTTTCAGCGAAGATGAGCAGAATAGGGGACCAGTGAATGGAGTACGGAGGACTCTCCCACAGACAGAGGATTACTCCGACCCCAGTTCAATCTTCGACAGTGTTCTCATGTCTATGTCTGACACTCTCAACTCCATAAATACTCTTGAAAGTTCTGACCAAACACCTGAAGACAAAGCACAAAACACTATCATCTCTTCTAGAACACCATTACAACCACGCGACACGACAGGGTAATGACATAAACAACATTTGGCACTACCATCATTCACATATTTATAATTCGCTTATTATAAAATAGAACAAACAAACGAATGGAACGAAACGAAACGAACTGCGTTTTTTCTTTCTATCATATTTTGATAAAATCCTTTTAAATAATCATAATAAACAATTTAAAAGTGTTCAATTCAAAAAGGAAAGCTCAGTTCGTTTAAAATATAATCGAAGGATGAGAATAATTTAATTTATAGGAACAAATGGAAATGATCGATTTTGGTGGTATGTTAGTTAGTATTCGTAAAGATAATAATCACGATTAGTATCGTTTAGAGATTAAGTTTGAGGATTTACTATCACAGGGGTTCGGATAGTGGATTGTATCAAACACCACCTGTACCAAGAGGAACCATGGAGGGTAGTTTCGTGTCGGAGGATCTGTCCTTGACATTGCCCACAGGATATGGTGGTAACAGGGAGTCCGATCAATTGAGCGTTTCCTCGTCCTCTAGCGTTGGTGGACCAAGCCCACGGGAACGACGATGTTTGCCCAACGATTCTGGTGCCCCTGGGATTTACTTACCAATGGCGCCCCTATCCAGCTCGCTTCATAGCCCTGCCTCTAATAGCAAAGTCTCGGTAAGTTTATCTTTTCTTTTTCCTTTAGGGATGAAATGACGTCATAAGTAAATCAAAATTATTCGAAATTATTGACCTTTTTCTTATGTTAAAAATTCTATAGATTATATTTCGGGTTCTTGAGCGTTTCAATTTCATCGTTTATACGATCGAATCAGTGATCATCGTCATCGTTAAATTATAAATACAAGGAACATTGTTATTAATATAGGTATGATTAATATTCTAGAATGATTACGCGTTTTAACGAGAGAATCGTTTTGCAAATATTCTATCTACGTAGTGAAGTAAGATATCGACAATGTTTAGAGTGTGCTTTAAATTGATGGAGGTATCATCAATTTCGTGGCTTTCTACAGTAAAGAATTTACTTCGTTGATCGATTCCTCGATAATTGGTCTGTCGATTCGATCGTTGTAACGGAGAAATCTAATATGAAGGTAGAGGAAATAGATTTTTGCATCGCTCTCGATAAAAAATATATAAAACTGATGGGAATCCTTTGAAAATAGAGTTCGAGTTAACGTATTTTAATAGATACTTTTTCATTTGTATTTGGATATACAGAAAATTGTAGTTGTGTTGTCGAACGTTGACTATTGAACGCGCAGTTGTTTTTCTTTATTCGTAATACACAAAATTAAATATATATCGAAAGAATCGATCTTTTATGCTTTCATTTCGTATAACGTAAAAATCGTTGTATAAAGTAGGTATTATGAATCGATATCAATAGGGAGGCTGATTTAATGGGGATTTTTATAGCCAACACCACCGAAGAAACCACCGAGGCGTAACCTATCGGTTTCGCCAACGCACCTGCAGACTCAAATGTCACTTTCGGCGGACTGTTCGTTGGGTCCGAGTAACTACGAATACTTGTTCTTGGCGCGTAGCGGTGCGCGTAGTCACATAGATCTCGAGCAGCTACAAAAACGTCGTGAGCAGTTACGACACGTAACGAGAAGCGTTGACCAGTACGTTGAGATGAAATCTCGTTTCGTGCCGTCCATGGAAAGTGGTACCAATCGACGAGAGGGAATGCAGATAGCGACAGCAACGACAACATCTAATACCAACGTAGAACCAATAGCAATAACGTCGATTTACGAGAATCGTCCAATAAAAATGTTAAATCCACGAAGGAAACTTCGTAGACACGCTTACGAAGGCTATGAGCTTGATAACAACGGTCCTTGCGTCGACAAATCGCCATGCAGTGAAAACGACTCGATACACCAGGAACAAACCTTCGTCTCTAACGCTTTTCTCACCTTGAAGTCTTCCCAAGAGAGCTTGCTAGACGAAAAACGAGAAACTCCAGACGGTGGGCTTACAATGATGGTTCAGGATGGTAGAGAGGCCACGGATAAGAGACTCAGGCGTGTGCAAATGATGTTCCCCACGAGCCCAACTCATTACGTTCAACCACCGACTCCCGATCATCCACCACCTTCTGCCATGCAAGCTGAAAAGTCGATTCACGAACGTATTCGTCCATTGAGCCAGGTGAGATTTTTTAATCTTGTTAAACATTATAAATATCTATTAAATAAATATTTATATCAAAACAATTTTTTTATGTATAAAACAACGTTTGAGAGTAATACAATAGACGATTTACATATAGAAGATTTCTTGAACATATTCTCGGAAGATCTTTAGATTCATTTCCGTACGTTCGAGTACGTGATCGTTGATGCATGGGAAACGGTGTCTTCGATTTCATATCTTGTCGTATGAGAGTTGCAAGGAGAGTTGGAACGTCGTGAAGTCGAGAAATTCCATCTATGTCAAAGATCGTTAAATCTCTCAGTCGATTCGAATCGTTGGATAGAAGATAAGCGGTAGTATATGGTCTCTAGTATGTATAGGTATACCTATGTAGGAACGTCTTACGTACCACGGGCTACGTTTAATATACAAGCCCCTGTTTGATCTGTGATGCGATTTCCAAGGAGCCAAATCTGGCAGTTCCCTACCCTATTTCTCTCTCCCTTTCCCTCTCTTAGTTTCTGCTCGTGGTATCAGCATCGCTCTTTCACAGCCGTTTGCCGCGTCATCCTGTGATCGCTCTGCTGTGAGACCGACTCTACGCGCACGCTTCCTCTCTCCTATCTACCGGTACTTGGATATCCATGGCGTGCTCTCTTATCTCTCTCTCTTTCTCTTTCTCTTTCTCTTTCTCTTTCTCTTTCTCTTTCTATTCCTCTCTTTCTCTTCTAGTCAGCATACGATGCTTTTCTCTTCATCAAACGCTGACGACGGCTGGTATATGCACTACATCTTTCAACGGCCGTACACGCTCGGCAAAATCTAACATAGATATAATATATATGAATATATATATATATATATATATATATATATATATTTGTGTGTGTGTGTATGTTTGTATGTGTATCCTTTTCACTAGATGCCACAGAAGGGCAAAGGAGAACGTGTTCCTTCGAGCAACGTGCATCGTTGGAGTACGGATACGTTTCCGTTTGCTCGGAAGGATCCGTTGGTGCGTTGAAATCGTGTGAATCGAGCATTCCCGGCTTTTGCTTCGTTGCATCTTCGGGGAATGCTCAACTCGACTTCTACCGTTATTTAGAAATCTACTTCTTCAAAGATACGATCTCCCCCTATTTGCAACCTGTCGCTTATGACTATACAATGAAGTAAGCCGGATGTGTTAGTCTATGAAGGAATACCTATCCATTTTAACGTATTTTAAGCATTTAATTTTTTATTATGTCGTTATCGTGTTTATTTTATTGCATATCAACGTGTTAAATTACATTTTAGTAACTGAAGATCATTTAACAATGAGAAAGGTTTCTTGCATAAAGCCCACACATTTTGATAAGAATTTTCCATCAAATCTGTGTTGAAATATGATTTAAATAAATGTTGTTACAATCGTTGAAGAAAACTGTCGGTTGAAATAGTCGAAGAAAAAAAAAGAAAAGAAGATGAGAGACACCCAAAAAGACGAAGTGAAGGAAGAAAATGAAGGAACCGATTACGGATGGTTGCTTTTCACTTGTCAACTTCCGGGGGTTCAGTAGAGCAGCAAAATGCAAGTCGCTGACACCCTTTGGATAATGAAGTCTCCGACTTTTGCGCTTCTCTGATTCTTTTTCTCTCTCTCTCTCTCTCTTTTGAAAATGTTTCTCCATTTCTCTTTGCTTGTCTCTTTTATCTCGTTTTTTTGAAACTTCTTTCTTCTTCTATATCGTTGAAAGTACATAAAAATATATGATTTTCCAGTGATGATTTATGCTTTTTACCATAAAAAATATTCATCTCGATGATGATCGTATATACCATTTCGAATTTTAATTGAGGAAAGTCGAACTAGGGAAATTTCTTTCTCGATTTTTGATTTTCATTACTCTTTTGTACATTTTATTTGTAGTCACTTAAGGAGTTATATACAGTTAGACGGCCRAAAAAAAGTGAATTTTCCAGAATTTTTTCTGAGAAACCTTTTAAATTTATTGATCCAAAAATTTATACACATATTATGGTATCTTTTAACTGTATTTTAAGACTTAGTACTAGTAAAAATATTTATTTGAAAAAGAGCTACAGCTGATCTC